AGGGTATGTCGTTATAAAACAGCTTATCTTAGCGAGAAAGCCATGACTGTTTATTCTTCACAGCAATTGGTTATAATATTAGAATTTTCTTAAATGATAGGAAATTGGTCAGTGGTTACTTCGTATCATTCTTGGAAAACAAGTTTTGCTTATGATTTTCAGAGGCAAGAAATGACCCAGGTCAAGTTAGCCTTGCGAAATAAACTAAATGAAGCTTTGCTTGTATGACTAAACTGGTTTTGTCCCCCCAGGAAATTTTCAAGGCTGGACTCCTTTTGGTTTTGTTTGTAACAATAGCATGACGCTGGCCCCCAGGCTCATCCTCACTCCACTCTCTCCCTCTCCCAACAAATCCATTCATTCAGGGAGTCCCACTGATGATGTCTGTTAAGTTCTTCTTGAATCTGTCCACTTCTCTCTCTCCCTAGTACCTGTCCAAGTTCAGGCCCTCCTATCTGATTGGTTCCCTCTCATTCCCCACCTATCTTCCTTTGGCCTTAAATTTCTCTACTGTGAGATATTTTTACTTGTAAGTGGCATAAACCTAAGTCAAATTGACTTAAACAAAAAATTGAATTTACTGGCTTTCATAACATAAAAGTTCATGGTGGCTTCAGGCATGGCTGGATCCAGGAGATCAAATGATGTCAATAGGACCTGGTCTCTGCTTTTTTTCCCCCACTCAACTAGGATAACATGGGTTGACCTCACTTTCTCCACATGAAGGCGAGCAGAAAGAGAGATTTCTTTCTTCCCCACAGATCTAACCAAAGTCTAAGGGTTGAGTTTCATGGACTGTGACTGGGTTGCATGCCCATTCCTAAACTAGTCACTGGGGCACAGGTGCATGTGGTGTTCTGATTGGGCATGTCTGGGTCACATATTCACTCCTGAGGTTGGGTGTGGGGATGGCACCATCTAAACCACGAGGACTGCAAGTAAGAGAAGGATGATTCCAAAAATCGATGTCTCTGTCCGGGTGGGTAGGATGGACATGAAATTGGTGTCAAGAGAAACCATCACCTCTACTTTAGGCAACAGAACACTAGCAGAGGACAGGAAGCTGTGAAAAGGTTTGCTGAGCAAAAGCAGGATTAATTACGGTCCTTCACACAACACATCTTCTATTTCTGTCCAATTATCATGCCACACAAGTGCCATCACGTGTGTCTTTACGTAGGTGTGGGATTAACTTTGTTGTACGTGGTACTTAACTGCAGCACTGAACTCTGCTTGCTTGGGGCTTGTCTGCACAACACACTGCACACTCCTGAGCAAGGCTGCCTGCTCTCACCCTACAGTAACTAAGAACACCTCCTGCGGCCCCACAGTACCCCCTGCCACCCAGGGCAGTTCTGGGCTACCCCTGGAACTGACTTCAGGATGAACCTGACCCAAACCCTTGGCCTTGGGTCAGAGCCAAACCTACCCAGTGTGGGTGTTGTGGGAGTAGGGTCCCAAGATTCTGACACCCCAGATCCCAGAGAGTGAGGGGGTCTAATGAAGGAACTGGTTGAGTAGGCTTCGAGACATGGCTCTGGTGAATCATAGTAGGGGCCCCTAGGAACCTTGTCCAATCAGCAACCCCCCGCCCCCAGCCTTCACCCTACAATTATCTGTCTGCCTTCCTCGATGAATGGGACTGACCAGTCCTCTTGGAAAAGCTTCTCCCGGTGAGAAAGACTTGTTCCAAAGGGCTGGGCCTGGTGAAGAGTGTCAGGTGCAGAAGGGCTCGTCTGAACATGATTTACTGAAGACATCTGACCATCTGGGCTTCGGGAAAAAGAGGAAGAGCAGGGACACTCATCTTGAGTGTGTGAAGGACAGGATTTCTGGGTGATCCTTGTGGGCCCGTCCAAAGAAGTCGTCAGTCCTGGGGTGCCCCCTGCTGGTCATAGTCCCAAATGGCATCTAGGTGAGCTCAGGCCTTTGCGGTGTGGACAGAGGTCCAGAGGGTGGGAGCAAATGTGCTCTGCAGCTGGCCTGGCAATCCTCCAAGACACGGGCAGGTGGCCCCCCACGGGAGAGGGCTCAGGCTTTGCAGCCTCTGACAACACCCAACCACAGAACACAGAAATGGGTGCATTTTCTCCTCTCCCTCTTTCGCAGTGTGATGAGGAATGTACCAGACTCCAGTGTGGGCCAGCACAAAATGACTGGGAGTCTGGGAATGTCTCTTCGTTGTGCGCCCACCCGTGAGATGGGGGTCGAACACTTGCTGGCTCCCCAGGGCCGTCTGAGGCGGGCCATCGTAGCTGTACATAATCCACAACGTGCCTCTGTGTTCCTTGAGCCCGCGCGCACCCGAGTGCCCTGGAAGAGCCGCACGTGTCTTCGGCGTGTAGCCGTGGCTCACAGAAGTCTCCTGCCGCGGGGGTTTTCCTACAGTGACAATCCGATGATGTTGCTCTCCAGGGACCTCACCACCACCTCGGGAGAGCTCAAAGTCAGCGGCACCTGCGGGGGGCTTGGCACCCAGGAGGGGCTCAGTGAGGGCTGGGGATGAAGGAAGCAGGCAGTCCTCAGGAGCCCAGCCAGGATGGCATCGGCCAGGGAGCCTAGTGGGCGGAGGTCAGGGACCTGCCATTGCTCGCATCTGTGGGAGCTGTGGTCCGAGGTGCCCCTCCTGGTGGAGCGGTCTCTGGATTCACTCATTCACACATAAGTGTGAGTGCCGGGGGGTCTTGGGCCTGGTGAGGACTTCCCACAGGGCTGCTCATCACCAGAAAGATACTGAAGGAACCCCTCCCAGATGCCTGTGAGGGCAGGGACAAGCACCCAGCCACAGCCAGTGGCTGCCACCCTCCTTCGCCCCTCCCCCCACCTCTTTCTCTTTCTTTCTTTCTTTTTTTTTTTTAAGATTTTATTTATTTATTTGACAGAGAGAGAGCAAGAGCAGGAACACAAGCAGGGGGAGTGGGAGAGGGATAAGCAGGCCTCCCGCCAAGCAGGGAGCCCGATGTGGGGCTCGATCCCAGGACCCCGGGATCATGACCTGAGCCGAAGGCAAACGCTTAACAACTGAGTCACCCAGGCGCCCTCTTTCTTTCTTTCTTTCTTTCTTCTTTCTTTTTTTTCTTTCTTTCTTTCCTTCCTTCCTTCCTTCTTTTTTCAGTGATCTTCAATCAATTTTATTGAGGGATAATTCACATGTGATAAAATTTACCTGTTAACACAGTTTGAGAAGTTTTGACAAACAAACATAGAGCATTTCCATCGTCCCCAGAAGTTCCCTGGGGACACTTTGCCATTGATGCCTCCCCACCCCAGCTCTGGTCCTTCTACACTTTCTATCACTGTAGCTTTACTTTTTCCAGAATATCATAGAAAGGGAATCAGTACGTGTCCTGAGATTGGCTTCCTTCACTTAGTATATTCTTCTTGAGATTCAGCGATGGTGCTGCGTGTGTGGGCAGTTCCCTCCTTTTTATTGCTGAGTAGTATTCCACAGGAAGGATATACCACAGTTAACATAGTACCCAGCCGAGGGATCCCCCCTGACCCCCCGCCAAGAGAGAACAATCAAAGGTCCTAAAGAACTGTGTAGAGAATGTGGCTCCAGGATAAAAGGGGTGGTAGGGACCCCTTCCAGAGAGGGCCGTCAGGACTGGCCCCTCCCAAAGGTTTCTCTAACAGGGTTATTGTCTCCATTCCCAGCGGCTGTGGAAATGATTTTTTCCTGGCTGCATTCCCAGATCTGATCAAAAGCCTTCCCCAACCTGTCTTTTGAGCAGCGCATTCATTTAATTTTCTGTGTGGATGTTCTTTTTTTCAATGGGCAGGTATTAAATGTCTTTAAAAAGCTGCATCCACTCTCCTTGATTATGCCTGTCTCTCCTGAGTTCAGCAGAGAAATCGGGGTGTCAGGAGCACCCCTGCTTGTTCAAATAGGAAGCAGCTGCAAGGGTCTCTTTCTTTACCCTGTGTGGGCAGCATGGCTAGAAAGCCCCTTCACGCACAGGCTGAAGTGTGGCCCTGTGGGAGTCAGGTCCATGTGGAGGAGACAAAGGAACAGGATCGAAGAGACAGAGAGACCTGGAGCCCGGGCTCTGGCCAGTGGTGCCCTCAGCAAGAGCCTCTCGGGTCTGAGTAAGTGGGGACTCATAGTTCTTAGAGAGTTGTGGGCAAGTCCCAGCTTGTACTCGCTGGGGGGAGGGGGGGTGGGCCTGGCCAAGTTGTACCCCTTGTACCAAATCTTGTACACTTGACTGCATTAATAGATTTCTGAAACGTGGAATCTTCTTTGATCTTTTTGGGGGTATGCGCTGATGTTTTGGCATATGTATATCTTCTGTGAAAGCATCTCCACCATTTAGAGAGAACATACCTATTGCCCCAAAAAGTTTCCTCTTGCCCCTTTGAAGTCACTTCCTCCTGACACCTCCCTCATAATCCCCTATCTCCAGACAACCACGAGTCTGCTTTCTGTCACTATAAATTAATTTGCACTTTCTAGAGTTTTATATGTACCCTTGTTTTGTCTGGCGTCTTTCACTCAGAATCATGATTTTGAGATTCATCCATGGTGTGGTGTGAATCAATGGTTCATTTCTTGGAATCTTCTTTGAATTCCTATGGTAAACCCTACTTGGTCGTGGCCTATTTTTAATACTCTGCTAGATTTGGTTTGCTAATTGTTCCCTCAGGGCTTAAGCATCTGCATTCCTTGGTGAGGGCAATGAACCAAGATTTGGATCCAGAATAGACCAACCAGATAGACAGGGGCAGCCTAGAAAAAAAATCTGGTTTAGAAGCTTCAGGGGCACTAACAAGGAAAATTTAGAAAAAGTTGGGATTGCATGATCCTGTATCTATGTGCAAACCCCACACATGGCCCATGATGGGCTCCTATTAACAAGGGACCAGCAATTGTCTCCTCCACTGGGCACAGAGTGGACTCATGCTGAATTAACTGACTCGTCTCAGTTTGGGGCTTCCTTAGTAGAAGGAAACAACCAGCCTTTAAAAAAATTTTTTTTAAACTTTATTAATTCCAGAGAGAATGCAGAAGGGTGAAAAGCCAAATAATTATTATAAAACACTTGAAAAAAGCAGCCCCAATCCATGACAAGCTGGAGAGGAAAGCCTTTGTGTGCTCCCCGGAACAAAGCAGACACTCAGGATTTTTATAACAACTGAGAAACATTCTTCCTGGTCATCATGTCTGAGAAAAAGATGATGTCTTCTCAGCAGGTACCTAAGCAAGATGGGACACCAAGAGGGGAGTGGGGACAGGGAGAGACAGGGGCAGAGCAGAGACGAAAACAGGAGAAAACAAGAGACGGGGAGGGGGAAGGAAAAAGAAAAGAGATAAAGAGAGGGAGAGCGGGAGAGAAAAGGGACCAGGAAAAGAAAAAAAAAAAGTTTGTCATTTGAAAAAGTATTGAATAAGGGAGGTCAGTCAGTGCTCTTTCTGAATCTTTCAGCCAAATAATGATACCTGAGCAGCGCTGAGGCCAGGAGGGCAGGGGCATAAGGAGAAGAGGTCTGTTATGGGTTGGATTTTGTCTCCCCAGAAGATATGTTCAAGGTCTAACTCCCAATACCTGTGAATGTGACCTAATGTGGGAAGAGAGTCTCGCAGGTAGAATCAAGTTAAGGGTGGTCATACTAGATCGGGGTGCACCTTCTAAGGAGAGGGGAAGTTTAGGCACAGACACACCTGGGGAGGAGAGCGCCATGTGAGGTGGAGGCAGAGACCACAGAGATGGTTCTACAAGCCGAGGAATGCCAAGCTTTGCCAGAAAACACCAGAGCTGGGACAAGAAAGAACCTCTCCTAGAGCCTTTGGAGAGACAACATGGCCCTGCCCTGCTGACGCCTTGATTTCAAACTTCTGGCCTCCAGGACTGAGAAAATCAACTTAGGTTATGCTAAGGCACTCAGTCTGTGGTAATTTGTTATGGTGGCCCTAGGAAACCAATACAGGGTCCCTATGAAAATAAAGCATCCAGAGCTTCCTGTCACGGGCGGAATGATGTCCGCTCCAAGTTCCCATGTGGATGTCCCAACTCCCAGCACCTCAGAATGTGACTGTATTCAGAGAGATGGTCTTTAAAGAAGTGATTAAATTAAAATGAAGTGATTAGGGTGAGCCCTAATCCACCTTAGAAGAAGATATTGGGACACAGGCTGCGGGAAGACCGTGGAAAGACAGAAGGAGAAAATGAGCATCTACAAGCCAAAGAGAGGAGCCTCCGGAGAAATGAGCCCTGCCAACACCCGGATCTTGGACTTCTAGCCTCTAGAACTATGAGAAAATGAGGTTCCGTTGTTTAAGTCACCCAGCCTGTGGTACCTTGTTTTTTTTTTTTTTTTTTTTTTTTAAGATTTTATTTATTTATTTGACAGAGAGAGACACAGCGAGAGCAGGAACACAAGCAGGGGGAGTGGGAGAGGGAGAAGCAGGCTTCCCGCCGAGCAGGGAGCCCGATGCGGGGCTCGATCCCAGGACCCTGGGATCATGACCTGAGCTGAAGGCAGACGCTTAACGACTGAGCCACCCAGGCGCCCCCCTGTGGTACCTTGTGATGGTAGCTCGAGCAAACCAATGTAGCCCCGCCAAACCCCGGCACTCACCAGCCCCGCTGGGTGGGAGGGCTGCTGGAGCCTCTCCTGTCTGCTTCCTGGGGCTGGCCTCCGTGACTGCCATGAGGGGGCTCCGGCTGGGGTGGAGGAGTCCGCACGTGGTGCTGTGGGCTCCGCCGGGCGCCTGCCTAGCCCTGCCGGGAGCACAGAATCCTCATCTGCCCCTAAGTAAGCAGCCCAAGGCGCACCTCTGAACCACCTGCTCCCCCAGGTCCCTCTTGTGCCGGCTTCCCTGAGGCCTTGGCCTGAGCCCTTCCTCCCATGACCTGGAGCTTCCCCCACATGGCTTTGGACACCCTTCCTGCCAACCCCCCACCAGCCGCCAGCATGAGGTGAAGGACAAGATAATAATGGTGACAAACTGGCGTTTCCACACCTGGGTGAGTGAATGGTTCTTATGTTTCAATTTTGTCCCTAACCCTTCATTTTCTGCCAGGTCCAGGAATTCATCTTTCAGAAAACATCTGCCTGCTGTTGAGTGGGCTCAAATTCCTGAGGAGAATGTCAGAGCAGAAGGATCCAGCCTCCTTTTGTGTTTATCTTTGTTTTGAACAGAGGAGGAAGCCAAGGCCCAGAGAGGGGAAGGGACTTGCCCTAGGTCACACAGCCATTTGAGGGCGGGCCGACTCCCGAACACCAGGCTCCGGAAGCCAGCCAAGCCCACAGCACGCTCAACACAAGTAGCCCAAGAATTCTCAGATAATACAATTAGGTCACTGGGTTGTTTTTTTTTTTTTTTTTTTTTTCTGCCTCACACTCATAGTAAGATTTGGGGTGGGCTGCAGAGGTTTGGTTTTGTTTTTCCCAATTTTAAAAGCACTTCAGCATCTTATTTATTACAGCAAAATCCAGTTCATGTCACTGTTAATAAAACTGTGATTTAACAAAGAGCTTTTATTACAAAAATAAATTCCAGTAATAACTGCTCAACCAGACACTTTGCAATTAAAAAGAAAACTGTGCAGTAAAGGGAAAATGCAATTCACAGTAAACTAAGTTTTTTCCTCTCCCTGCCCTCCACCCGCCTGGTTTCCACAATAGTGTTTCTCAATTTCAAACCATTTGCTGGCATTAGGCTGTTTAGTACTGCTCTGTTCTCCAAATAATGAAACAATTTAATATTTTTAGCTTGGGACTGATTCCCGAGCAGATAGTCACACTTTCTCTTAGTCAATAACCAGCTCTGAAGAACCAGGAGCCAGCGACACCTGCCCTCAACCGCCTGGCAAAGGCAGTAACCCCCCCTCCCCGCCTACATGGCCGCTTGAGTGCGTCCCTTTGCTTAAAGCAACCCTGAGTTTTGATCTCATCACTGTCTAAGATGAAAGTTCAGTGTGTAGGAACCCCAATGTAGTCGTCGGCTTGGGCTGCCATGACAAAATACCACAGACTGGGGCCTTAAACAACAATTTATTCTCTTGCGGTTCTGGAGACTGAAGTCCAAGAGCAGGGTGCCAACAGGGTCAAGCTCTGGTGAGCGCACTCTTCCTGGCTTGTAGAGGACCCCTTCTCACTCTGTTCTCCCGTGGCACAGAGAGAGAGGAAGCAAGCTCTCTGCTGTTGATTCTCAAGAGGGAGCTGATCCCATCATGGGGCCCCTCCCTCATGGCCTCATTGAAACCTAATTACGTCCCAGAGGCTCCATCTCCAAATTCCATCACACTGGGGGTTAGAGCTCTAACATATGAAGAGGGAGGCCCACAATTCAGTCCATAGCACCTACCTACTAAAGTAGCTGACTGGTTGTTTGCACAGTGCTTTTGTGCAAATTTGCACTGGGAATCATATTAGTAGGAGTAGTTTTTCCTCTTGCATGTCTCCTATGCAAAAACTTTTTTGCCTCCAAGCAAGTTCCCCTTTGGTCTGCTGGCAAGGACCATTGAAAAGGAATGGACCGTGTTTGAATCCCAGTAGTTAAAAGCAAATGGAAGGGTTAATTGCTGTTCACAGCTCTGGAACTGCTCAGTTTAGCTGCAGAGGTTCTGAATCACTGGTAGTAGTAGACCCCAGGGATCTCCGATAATTTCCCCTGGATTATTGTTGTATTAATTCTTCACTCCTCCAACCTTTCTGTAGTTTATGGGTGAAACAGCTCTTAAAGAAGAGAACAAATTAGGAAAATGCTTTTGATCATAAGCGCGATAATACACACCCCACAGACTCTCTTTTGTGGGGTTTTTCTATACGTATTGACACAGCTAATCTTTGCTTCTGCAGCATGTACGTAAATATTATCCAAGATGACTGGCATATGGTACTGTTATGAGTCTTTTAAGAAAATCTCCAACTGAATCCAATATTTCCCATGTGGCACCTGATACACAGTGGGTGTGGGATATTTATAGAGCAGTAATAATGATATTTGAAAACACTGTAATGTCTAAAGCCTCTATTTCTCTGCAAATTTCATCTAGAAGGCTGCATTTTGCAGACATAAGCTCCTGCCAGCCATTCACAGTGATTGCTGGAATGCTGAGCATTGTTGAGATTCACAAAGTGGCTGTTTTGAACATTATTGCCTCTGAACCCTTCAGAAAGAAAGTCACCTTCTCATGTGAATGGAAATGTTTGCAGGTAGGGACTTGCCGACTGACTTGGCCTCCCAATGCTGGTTGTTTGCCCTTCAGTAGAATTTCTGGATGCATTTGCCCTAAAAACCACGGTAGGGCCTCAGGCTTCATATGGTAGTTCATGAAATTGTAGAATCAAAGGATGTTAGGATCTGACAATCTATAGGCTGGGAGGGAATCTAGTTCCCATTTTAACCAATCCACTCCCCCCCCCCCCCACTTTTAAACCAACGAGGACATTGGTTTCGTGACATAGGTAGAACTGGTGCCTTTTTGTCCCTCTCCCAATGCTCCCTCCATGCAATAGTACATCCTAGTGGGGCGCCTGGGTGGCTCAGTTGGTTGAGCGACTGCCTTCGGCTCAGGTCATGATCCTGGAGTCCCTGAATTGAGTCCCGCATCAGGCTCCTTGCTCAGCGAGGAGTCTGCTTCTCCCTCTGACCCTCCCCCCTCATGCTCTCTCTCTCTCTCTCATTCTCTCTCTCTCAAATAAATAAAAAAATAAAAAAATAAATCTTTAAAAAAAATAGTACATCCTAGTGGATTCAGGCCTATTGTACTTAATTTAATACATGTTTACTAAAAAGACCACTGGGAGAGTAACTCCCACTTTTAAGTGTCTACTATGTGCAGACCCTCTACCAGGCCCTTATTTGCATCCCCTCATTTCATTTTTTATCAGAACCTTATGAGGCAAGCATTAGCATCCCCATTTTACACATGGGAAAGCTAAGGCTCAGAGAGGCCGTCCAAGGTCCCCGGACTAGTAAGTGGTCGAGTCAGTATTGGAAGCTGGGACTGTGTGGCCCTGTAGCCCAGTTCTGGGCATCAGAGCTGAGAGAGAGTGAAGGTCAAGTTGGAGATGTGGTCCTTCCACATAAACAGGACACGTTATTCTCTCTGGCCAGACCAGAGGCATGGGCTTTGCATATTCACATTCCCACCTGAGCCCCATTGCAAGTCAGTTACCCAACCACCCACCTTGTGCCAGTCTGGGGGGCCCAGAGGCGAATGGATAATGCCCCCTGCCTGGGAAGAA